ATGAGATGGAGACGGAATTGGAGGGGACAACGCAACTCCGACGCAGACTCAACATGCACATACTCCAAATTTTGCAAATGGAGAATGAGACACAATACAGACTACAATTGGGGTATAATCGCGGCGGAAGGATTGGACTAGACTGAATGAGCATACGGCCTATGGGGTGAGGCAACGACTTGGTCTGACAAGCCGAACTGGCCAAACGGGCCGAACAACCAAAATAGCCAAATAATCCTTGCTCAAGGCCAGGGCAGTTAGAGACCCGCTGCACGGTCCTTAGACCTGTAGTGGATTGCAAGAGTTGCAAGGCACACTATCCCCAAAAGCAGCGAAACGCTGAAACAATAAAAATTGGGGAATTTATGATGCGGAGTCCATGCGATGCAGCCTAAGTTGCATAATGTCGAAAGGAAGCAAATATCATATATACACATCATAACTAACAACAGATAATGAAATATAGCATGATGTAATCCTAAAGTTATCGAGGAAACTACTTCAGTGCTAAAAGGAAAAAAAAACTATCATTTCGTCAAAACGAACATTTTTTATTTTTTAACAAAATTGAAACACAGTTTTTTTAACTTTTTTGGCCGAAAACTTGTTTAAATTTTGTTGCTCCTGAGGGTTCGGCGTTTTTAAAACGCTGGACTCCCTGGATGTATCACGACTGAGTTATAGGCCAGATACATCCAAGGGGGACTGCCTGAATGTATCTGGTCTCAAGCTAGGTCCAGATACATACAAGGGGTGCAACATTTTAAGAACGTCGGACCCTCAATAGCAGCAATTTCGTTCAGAAAGTAAAAAATGTCCATTTTGACAAAATGGCAGTTAAAACACCAATAATGTCACAAGGTGATGTAGTGTCGTTGAACCACTGAGAGTGGGATGGTCTAAGAAGGAGTAAATGTAACCTAAGAATTGAAACTTTTCTGGGCAGTCACACACGAAGGTGGGATAGGTCATGAGGCTCACAGATGGACCAAAACACAACCAATGACCCTTACAGATAGACCATAAAGGCGGGTAATGCTCGACAAAAGGGTGACACCGTACAGGGTTGACCGCGGAATGCTTAATTGAAGGCATGCAGTGGGCAACACTAGGATGATGAGGATCATGGGTGAGGGAAACATGCACACAACTCGTCGACTGAGAGGGAAAAAACTATATCTGGGAGAAGGGAAGCCAAATTGAAGCTATGGTCCCAAGGCCTATGCGATACCAAGGGAGAGCCAAATCCTGAGCGAACCAGCTAAGTGGGAACCATCATGCGACACACAGAAGACAATGTTCATGGTAGGATGGGGGCATGAAGTAGTCACGTCCAAAGTAGTCAAACGTGATGAAGTAGTTGAAGTCCTCAAGATATTCGATGACGTCAATGAGTTAGGAGTCATAGTCGACGTCGTTGAAGAGCCGGAAAACGTTGACATCCTCGAGTAGCTGATGATAGAGTACATGGCAGTGTGAGTCAGTGAGAGGATAGGTAAAGATGATAAGAATGTCAGTTATTTAGACGTTGAGGGCATCAACGAGTATGTTGTGGATGCGCAGAGGTATCTGTCTACTATTGAAGAACAACCTCAAAGAGAGCGGGTTTGTCCTTAATAATCTCTTCAGCCGAGGAGGAGGAAGAAGGTTAGTCAGTCGAGTAAGAGCATACGTTTTGGCAGGAAAAGCACAATCATATGCACACACCAACATCCTAGCGTGCTCCAAGTGCTCGAGGAGCTTCCAAATAATGTCCTCATCAGGTTAGCCCTTCCAACGCACAAGGTACTTGTTCCGTGGAGCCGTATTGTAGATACGATGTCGGAAACAACGAACTCCTTTTGACCCACCGCAATGATAGGTGGAGGGCGCTCATAAAGACGTTTGATAAAGCATTTGACAGTTTGCGATAACGATGCAGAAATGAGACGTGGTACACATTGTGTCCACGAGTTTGTCGAATGTAATCAGGTAACTTTATACGGAAGATGATCAGACTCGTGACAATATTATAACCGACGATCTGAATGATGCGACATGAGCCAAATAAGCGACGTTTGAACTAGCGAAGCGTATCCACTTCCAGCTGCAAGTGGCGATGTCGATGATCAAATCGTTATCGACTTTAAATGAATGATCGGTTTAGGATTAGTTCGCTCGTGTGGCCATGCACATCTAGGAGGCACCTATACTCTGTGTGCGCACTTCATAAATGTTGCCATATGTGCAGCCAGACGTCAAGCGCATGACAATGAGTGTGTGAGTGTAACCGCGACGGTCGAAGAAAATCTGCGGGTACGCGAGGATACTAACCGAGGTCGCAGTAGAATGGTGATATCTCTGTAGTTGACGAAACAACATGGTCCTTAACAATCTCCGCGTAGGCTAAGTGTAAGTCCCTCTATCGGTCATCTGTAACAAACTTTCGGAGGGTATTACCAAAAGTTTTGTTAGTGACCTCAGTCTGACCATCAGTCTGACGGTGGTAAGTCGACGAAAAACGAAGTTGGGATCCTTACACCTGGAGTAGGCATCACCAGAACGTAATAGTAAAACGTGTGTCACGGTCGGAGAGGTAAACTGTGATCTCTTACGATTTGGTCGAGGAAGATATCGACGACTTCACGAACTTAAATGCAGTAGCACCACAAGACAAAACGTGCAATACTTCGTGAAGCGATCGAGAACGACCAAGAAAGCATCATGACCTCGCTCGGTGGGAGGGCGGAGGGGGACAACAAAATCAATAGAGATGAACTATGAACAACCCTTAGGTATAGGTAAAGGTTGTAGTAACATATATGGAAGGTGGTTCACACTGTTCACCTTCTGGCAGGTAGGACATTCCATATGGAAGTTTGTTTGCACTATTCACCTCCTGGCAGGTAGGACACTCCCGGACGTAGCTCATAATGAATTCCTTGCGCTTCGACCATTCGTACGTGCGACTAACACAAGCCAAGGTTTTCTTGAAGCTCATATGATCGGCAACTTTCTGGTCATAAAACTCAACTACAGCCTGGACATGGAGCTATCTAGTGGAGGGAACGTTGTCGAGCGCATCGGTCCTGCTTCGGGGACCCTCTTAGTTGCGTCACGCAAGATTTAGTATTGTTGTGAAAAACACAAGGAGCTTCACCGCTCTGACCGAATGCTCCAACTATACTTTTCACAAGTCCCTACAACTTACCTCCTCCTGTGGGAGTTATCACTATCCTTGGGCACATCCTTGTCAAGCTACCACTCCACATACAAAATTGTTTACATGCAATCGTAGAGGTGCACCAGAGGAGGGTGTTTTCTTCTACGTTGTACCATATTTGCTAGTCGACTATGACATTGAAACTACCACATGTGTCACTCTTTCACAAACCTAACCTTCATGCATGACTCTCTACGCCTAGTCTCTTTCAAGATATTCCAACCCATAACTCAGAATTTATGCAGGTATCAGAGTGTGGCCCACGCATGAAAGAGGTCATAGCACTCAGTCATGCGTACTTACAAGATCGACTGTCATGGCGACGCTTCACGCGTTACCCACAAGTGCGCGACCCTTTGTGGGTCTCAGGGTTGTTTACAACATGCAAGTATCGAACACGAAGTGTCGTAAAGGGTACCCCCTTCACGATATAGAACGACTGAAGGATAAGGCGTTCAACTTTCGTGTCTCTCACTTTTAGGTTGAGTGCAACAATTGGTAAGGAATAA